GTTTAAAAAAGTGGTTGAAATAGAAAAGCAATATGATTATTTGTCTATTATTAGATCTCATGAAACACCTCAGCAATAGGCTAATTGTGTAAGAGGTTCTCTACAAGAATTACTTTCTAAGCGAGAATATAGTTTATATCATGTGTATAGCCTTTTCGCTTCATTCGGACAAGTAGAATCTAAAATATACCACATTAATGATAAGCTATATGAAGATTACTTTAGCTATTGTAGACCTAGTGTTCATAAAATTCAGATGGCTATCTGCTTTAAATGCTGGAAATTGATAAAAATTACCGATGTAGAGCCAAGAAAGGTATATTATGATAGATGATACAGATAGGGCTATAAAGTAAAGTCTGAAGACTTGATGAAAAATCATTGGGACCAGAAATGTAGAGTTAAGCCATTTGGTATTTCATCTGCTAAGCAAGAAATATCTTCATCAGCTTCTTATTGATCCTCGAATTACAAAACCAATACAAGTGAAATATTTATCTTGTCTCGGTATGCAAAACAGAATAACTTGCTACCATTCATAAACAGCTAAAAGATGCTACGTTAAGATTAAGAAATGGGGTAGAAATCACGATTGTTGATTGAGAAATAATTCTAATATAAATCATTACTTTCTTAATATATATCTTTATTCACATATATTTTTTCTTGATAAAAGTTCTCAAATATTATTTTAGCCACAGACTATATTTACCCGCATCTTATGCTAATGCATGTAAGCATGTATGACAACCATTAAAGTGCTAAAGCATAAATAAACATGTTCCTGATCCTTGTTAAAGCTTGTAAAATACATATATGATATAATAGTGATATATTGTCAATCATCTGTGCGACTATCTGCTTGTACAACAAAATAATTTCACATATAAATTGATCTTTCCTCTCTTTCGATCATAGACCTGCAGGAGATATCTATACAAATAATAGCATATCCAGACAGACAAAAAAAACCATATATGCATTACCCCTAATATCTTTCTAAATGTCAAGATTTTCAATGTACATTCTACATACCCTTATTCTCGAACACAAATTTTGGCGTAAAGTGTCTTACATATTTCTCCTATTTACCTCCAACATGAATTATGTATCTAAAGAATCATAAATGGAGACACTTAGAAGAGCAGTATAGTGAAATTATTATGTCTTTACGTTATTTTTTTACTTCGTTTAGCAGAGCTTTTACTAATATTTAACTTTCACTCTATTAAAACATGGAGGAATTCCTTTTAACGATAGACCTTCTTGATATTGTCAGAATCTCTACGGCATTATTTGTACGAGTAGAGGAAGGTAAATGGACAGGCAATCTTGAAAAGGAGGCAGAGAACTTTAAAAATGTTTTGAAGTGAGTTTTAGAACAAGTCCCCTCAGAGAATATTGAGCTGATAAAGAAGCTTCGAAGTTTTAGTACTGAGAAAAATTAGCTAAATGGGTAAGACGATAAACTATTTTCATGATGTTTATATATGGATATGATGACATGCTTTTTTTAGGTTTTCTAGTATGGTATAATCACTAGCAAAGAGGCTGATGTCCGTTGTAATATTATTACTTTCCGCACAGCAGTAACTAGTTTTATATTATATATTAGCATATATGATAGCTACATATCAAACATTTTGCCGGCACTTGAAGCTTTATGAAAATGAAAACCTAATCTGATTCCGCAATATAATATTAAATTATTTGACAAACGAATCTTGAAAAACTAATATTAGATACATTTTTAGATCGCAACTGCATTCAAAGATCTTTATTCATTCTCAGAAATGGAAGCGTTAGTAATCGATACTAAAGTCTGGTATAAAGATACAAATACGAATTTACAATCTTTGAAGCGAGATGTTGGACAATGTAAAAGTGAGAGCGTTAGTTATGAGAAAACTATGTAGGAGAGAATAGAAACAGAACTTGAGAAAATAAATATGGAGAACCTTAGATTCGATTATCTGATTTGTTCAGGTGTTCTAGATATCAAGTCAGAACTCTTTACAAATATGTCTGGATCAGTTTCTGATATTTTTAAGGAGCCATTTCGAAAATATAAGTTAGAACAGAATCATGATATAATGGAAGCTTGTAAAGAATTTATTTAAAACGAAGAATCAAAAATTAATATAGACGAGGTTTTGGGTAATATTAATTATGAAGAATGGTTGGATAAGCCCGAAGAATTGCAAAATCTAACAAAATGGATGTTAGAATCTATGTAAGTCACTGGCAAGCAATTCTTACCAAAATCTGTTTATTTGATTTTTTACTTTGCTCACTAACTAATAAATAATTATAGGCTTAAGGTTTGGAAATCGCCAAAATATAATGTATATATAAAGAAAGAAAAATCGATAAATGAAGGATCATATGTTTGTGAGGTTTTTACGCCATTATTAAATATAGTGATGAGCAATTTACTAGGAAACCTGATAGCATGAGACATATGGTAGGCTTAGCTCAAAAAATTTCATTACTCTACTATCATATCTGCTATAATTAATGTTTTCTAAATTAAGGGGTGAAGAAGGGAATTCAGCTAGTGCTATATAAAAAGGTTCTCGTAAAATTGCCTAAAGAGCTGATTATATGATGTTCAAAAAAAATGCTGAACTTGAAATTGTTTATCTTGAGACCGGTAGACCTAATTCCAGTCAAGATAAGCAGAAACGAAATCACAAAAAATTAATACGTTTTTCTAAGGATTCTATCAACACTACGAGAAAAATAAAAAACCTTAAAAAAATATTTAACCAACCATCAAGGAGGCAGAATCTAACCATATTCACTATTAACATCACAGATACAAATAAATTATTTCTATTTTTTATATAATCATAAACTGTTCATATTTTACTTTATCTACTTCTAGGTGATGTTATGGAACTTTATGCTATGCAAAAAGAATCAGGAATTTATAAGTACTATTTAAAAGAGGAGGCAACAATTCTATTACATATGATTTCACCAAGTGCTATATATCGGCTTATCTATACTTTATTAACATTGAGAATGGCCGTAGCTTGTACAATTCATAAAATATTATATAGTCCTGACTCTGGGAATAGTGAGCATAGTTCTAGTGAAATGATAGTAACAGTTTCGACCTCCAAAAATTTATAGAATAGATGTAACAATTAATAAAAAATTTTAGAGTTATCATATTTGTTCCATGTTTTGCGATGATCATAGCCTTAACTGCAGAAGAATTTTTATTATATACAGACTGACCTTTTTTTTTCACTATAGTTAAAAAAAAATTAAGATAGACTATTTTCTGAATATATTTACCAAATGAGTGTATATTTATCCGCATGGGACTAGGGGAGCAATGATTGCTGATCATTAATCAGGATGTCATGTGAAATTCTTGATTGAAGCTAATTTTATGTCTAGCAGATCTTCTGAATTTTTTTTTTTCAGAGCTGGAAAAAGAATAGTATTATACAATTTCACAGTAATAGCATGATATTGATATGGTATTTTTTTTAGATCTAATAGTAACATGGGAGGTTTGCTAGGAAAATGGGGCTCTGAGACTAAAAAATTTTTTTGAATAAATTAAAAAATCAAAATAAACAA